ATGCCTCTTATTAAGGCGTTGCTTTAGGCCTCGGATGATGTTGGGCCGCCCCTGATATTTAGTGATGTATTTTGATATATTTAAATTATCATGTAAACAATAAGTAATACTAGATGCCCCAATATTATCATTTTGGAATAACTATATTTTCTATTGATTAAAATCTTTCAAAATTATATTTTTATTATAATAAATATTTAACTTTATTTATCTCTTTTAGATAATACTATTTGCAAACTAAACCTTTACGGATCTTTTTCGTAATTTGATACTCAAAAGTACTTTTTGAAATGATTGACCAAACACAATTTGCTTGCAAAAAGTAATACTCAATGAATTTGCCAAACACAAACTGCTACTTTGTAAAAGTACTTTTTTTTAAAATACTTTTGAACAAAAGTACTTTGAAAAATCATCAGTTTTTGACAGTTTGATCAAACGGGCTATTAGTGTTCAAACTCTATAATTTACGAGTTAATGTGTATTTATGTCCTTGTGAAGAAATACTTGTCCTCCTATACCATTCTGCAACTCTCTGATCACTCACGGTACATTTTTGGTAACTCAAAGATACTTAGGACCCGTTTGGACATAGATTTTCAAATATTTTTTGAAAAAGTTAATTTGGGTGAAGTTTATTTGAAATTAAAAATGTGTTTGGACATGAATTTTGGGGCAAGTTTTGACATATTAAAAAGTCTCAAATAGTCATGATTTGGCCCAAAAAGAGGTCTTAAGCTATATTTGAAATTTGAAGTTTTGATTTTTAAAATCTCCCAAAAACTAGATTAATTCTATAAACAAACACATATTTAAAATTATTTTTTGAAAAAAAACTTCCAAAACCTATGGCCAAACGCTACTTAAACAAAGTAAACACTTATTGCTTTTTTTTTTCCCTAGCTTTTCTCCCCTTGTCACTTGGTTAATTAATCTTTTCCTCAAAACCAAAACCAATTCATGATCAATTTACTGATTTAGATAACCATATAATTTTAAAACATAAAGAAAGAGAACTAGGAGAGAATCTCCAATTTTTAGCCGAACATATTGAAGTAGTTTATTTGTTGTTGTCGTATGTTGAAGAAGCTTATCTGCTCATCGGTCATATTCAATTTAAATAATAATTAATCACATACCAAATGTTATGTAACTGGATGGAGACTTTCTCACGCTTCTATCCATAATCATATTACGTTTTAAAAAGAGGCATTAACTTTAGCATCAAGTAAATGTACTGTAATTCGATGGAGACTTTTGTCACGCTTCTTTTCATAATCTTATTGCATTAGCATTAAAAAGAATGATTAACCATCGCATCAAGTCATATTTTTCAAATTATTATTTAGACACAAAGAACTCTTGCAAATTATGTTGATGATGGTTTAGTTGCACAAGAGTTTTCCGATGTACAAATTAAAGATGCGCAAACGCTTGCTTTGCAAAGTGCAGCAATAATCTTAAATATTTAAGTTGTATGTACAATGGTATTATAAAGAACTTTTGCGTATAATTACATCGGGTACAGCAAGTTTTTGTGTGTGAGCTAATTGGTTGTTCATTTGGCAAACGGAAGACTTGTTTTTACTATTGTTTCAATAAGTGTTTGTAATTTGAAATTGTTCAAGATTTTCATATATATATTACTACTAGGATATGCTTTGAAAACTAAAACATAATTTTCATCTTTTAGTAATAACACTGCAGATGTCAGATGAATATAAAATGATATAGCTATATACACTACTATTACACGGTGATTAGGTATTATTCATGCCATTCTCCTTGAGAAGAGCTGTTTTCAAGAAAACAGGCACATATCATGCAATTCTTTAATAGTTTTTACTAATATTCTTATCCATGTTGATGTTGAACCATTCCAAAGTCATTATAAACTTCTTACATGATTCTGGCTAATAAGTCGTAGATATCTAACACTTTGTTGGAATTTTCCCTACTGCCTAGTCATCTTCATATAGACTTGCTCATTTTCTATATGTATGTTGCTTTCTCCCTTGTGTAGCTTAAGAAGGTGGTTGGAACTTGGGACCACATTCATCTATCATTTTTTGATGGTTCAAGATTGTAAATGACCTACTTAGAAGTGTACATGAACCGGGTTGGTTCGGATTTTATCAAAACCAAACCAAATCAAATATATCGGTTTGGATTAGTTCGATTTTGTCGGATTTTTTGTTACATGAATATTATTTCAATCTTGCATTATTAAAGTTATAGATAAAATTTTGATAAGTGAATATATGTTTACTAAAAATTAAAAAAAAATAACAAACATATGATCTATTAAAGTGATCTTATGGGAGAATGTTTTTTAGTATAATATAATAGTTTATTTTCTTAGTCGTCTACCAATAAAAAAAATTTTATGTACGCTTTCACGGTTAACCAAATTTAATAATTAAACATAAAATCAATATAATACCTAAATAATGATATGTTTTATGTAATTTTAGATTATCGAAATACCACTTCAATTTCGAAAAATATATAATAAATCTTGACATATGAATATGAAAGAACAAAGAAATGATTGACTTATTTCAATAATAAAAAATAATAAAGTGATACAATTTATTATTTAAAGTAAATAAAACTTTATAATTCTATTAAATATTATATTCCATAAGAGAATCTCAAATATTTCTAGACATCTTTTAAATAAAAGTCTATATAAAGTCTTAAAATTATATATAAAAAATTAAATATTTATATGTCGGTTTGGTTGAGGTATTTTTACTCAATTCCAAACCAAATCAAACCAAACCTAGTATGGGTTTTTAATCGATTTGATTTGACTTTTCGATTTGGTGCGATTTTTCGATTCGATTTGTACACCCGTAGTCCTACCCTTACTTTAAATAAGGAAATATTTTTAAATACTGAGTGAGAGAGATGGCCGGACAGAGTATAATCTCCTATTTCTTGTAGAAAACTATATTGAAGAATCTTATCAGCTTCTCAGTCGTTTTGGACTTGCTGGCCCCTAAATTAGCCATAATATATTAATAACAGAGTTTAACAAAACTCAAAGAAATAATCACTCAGTCTTGGTTGTAAGTGAAAATCTTAGATGCGCTAAACGTGTGAACTAATAAACCATCATATTTTGTCCCTGCATCTCTTCAATAGCCTCTCTGCCCTTTCAGGGGTAGGGTTAATGCTTCGTACATCTTACCCTCTCCAGAATCCAGTTGTGAGAAACTATTTGGTTTGTTATTGTTATATCTTCAATAGCCAAATGGGCAACAATAGAATGAACTTATTATATACTATTGCTCCCTCAGTTTCACTTCGTTCGTTATAAATTGACTTGACATAAAATTTAATAAAAAATAAAAAATTATTAAACTTGTGGCATTAAATATTCCATAAAGTTTTTGCCGCTATAAAACTTTTAAAACTTATGATCTTAAACATGCTATAACATTTGAGTAGCTAAAAAAATTTCTCTAAGAAATATAAAAATATGTCATTCTTTTTTGAAAGAGCTAATAAGAAAATAGTATCAAATAAGGTGGAATGGGTGGAGTATAAGATTTGAATCATAATTTGTTTGGGATTGAGGCGTAGTTATTTTTGTTAGGTGGATCATATATATAAAGTTTGAGGACGCAAAAGCCCGATATTTAAGTTGAGTATAGGGGCGTGGCACTTTTCCGGTGTTTCGGACCTGTGAGCTAAGAAAAAAAGAGGAAGAAGAAGAGAGAGGGGTTTTAGATCACTGCCTGAAGCTGTTCTAGTTCGGTTATTCAACTCAATATAGAAAGGATGCAACTTTAGCTTGTCTAAGGAATATATTTACAGAAGTCAAAAAAAAGAGATTACAGACTAAGTAGTACTGGCTGTGCTCTTAATACAAACTTAAAGCAGAAACAGCTACAGCTTTTCTACAAACAATTCAAGAAACTGTTAAATGGCCTTTCTTTCCAAGATGATTCAACCCGCAACAAGTGTAATTTCTCAACAAAAGGTTCCAGAACTTGTGCCTCTTCTTCTGGGGCAAAGGCCATACAAATGCTAAGCTCCTGAACTGCCTCTTCGTATTCCCTGATGTATACGGTTATTTGTCAAAATAGTTTGTTGACTGAATGAAGGCTTGTCAAAAATGAGAAAGAAAAAGAAAATTTAAGATACACATACCTACTATAATACAACATCATGCCATGGTCTCTCCTTAGAGCCCAATTGTGTGGCTGCAGAATGAGCAATCTTTCTGAAGCCATAATGGCCAGCCTAGAAAGTATTGTACCATTCCAGAGAGAGACACAATGTCATTATAAGTGAACAGATCATATTACACACAAACTAATCCCTTAGGGAAAGGTCAGGCATCTGTGCATGATAACCTGAGAACCTTAATTTAAACATAGCTCTTATTTATGTGCAAATATCTTGGCTCTTTGAGAACAGTAAGATAGAAAACAATTCATCATAAATCCTACTAGCATGGTTTTGCATGTCAGACAAAACTTAATGCTTAACAGATCATCATCAAATGCCAACTAGTGTTTGATTTGTTAAAAACTCTTCCTCTCCAATGTGTGTGGTGCACAGCATACTGCAGTCTAGTAAATGCCTCAATTCTTACTTCCTTGTTACTTCATATACGTACATGTTTTTAACGAAGAAATAACAGGTACCAATTATAACCACCTTAGTAGAATGTATAACGGAAGAAAACAACAGGAATATAATGAGTTCTTAATGGATATCAGAAACAGAGATGCTCCCCTAAAAGAGAATATAGATGCAGAAGACCTTCACATATTTCAGTGACAATGGATAATATGTTTTATGGTGTAATAGACCAGAAGAATGCTGCTAGACACATGCAACACAGTATCAAGCAAGTGATCTCATAATTATTGCTACTTCTGTGCCCCCCC